AGGAAGGAGAGATGCTTTCATGAGAGGAAGGACATGCAGCACTGTTGTGCCAGCTTTCATTGCTTCAGTCCTCAAGTGCAGAACTGCCTAAGGGTTCAGTGTAGGATTGCGCAAGCGCTGATGGATCTACTTCTGGCTCTGGGAGTGTGTTGCTGACAACCAAACGAAATATGAGGGCGGCATATCTATTCATGTGTTCAGGGGTCATTTTGTAGAAAAAGAGGTGCAGGAGCTCATTAGCATGAATTATTTGCTTATGCCACGCCCCCTGACATCACCGGAAGTGTGTCAGAAGGCAACACCCACCGCTCAGGCTCCACTGGACTGTTTTGGATTGCTAGCTATTGGGGGGGGGGGGAACGTGCAGATCTGTCCTCGCAGAGAAGGGAGAGCTTGTGCCTGAATAAAACTTGGTCTTAAAGGTGCCACTGGACTGTTTTGGACTGAGGGGGTTGGGGGGAGCTCTGCAAGAAGAAGAAGAGATTGGATTTATACCCCGCCCTTCACTTGGAGTCTCAGAGCGGCTTACAAACTCCTTTCCCTTCCCCTCCCCACAACAGATACCCTGTAAGGTGGGTGGGGCTGAGAGAACTCTGACACAAACTGCTCTTTCAGGAACAGCTGTGCCAGAGCTTGTGACTGACCCAAGGACACATCAGCAGGTGCAAGTGGAGGAGTGGGGAATCAAACCTGGTTCTCCCAGATTGGAGTCTGCGCACTTAACCACTTACCTGGCTGCTTCTTGCTCTGACTGAGGGCTGCTGGGAGCAGGGGGTGGAGCTTGTTGCATGTGCCTGCCCCCTGGGCTCTTTACTGCCAGAGCTCCACTCCTGTGCGCTCCTGCAGGAAATGACCCCTGCATGTGTTTAACCCAGATCTGCTCCTATCATAAAGGAAGAGCAGCAGCACTCCAGGAGTCTGGAACTATTTTCTCCCTGCTCATCCCTCTGCAGTGTGTCCTCCCCCACCCCAGCTCCAGGCATTTTTCTCTTTTTAACTCCTATCTGGGCAGCATGTTCGGTTAGGAAAATAGTGCTAGGACCTATGCTTCTGCCCTCACACACAGTTTGGTGTAGTGGTTAGGAGACCACTCTAATACAGGAGAACAGGGTTTGATTCCCCACTTCTCCACCTGAAGCCTGTTGACCTTGGGTCAGTCACAAGTTCTTTCAGAGCTGTTATCTCAGGAGCAGTTCTCAAAAGAGCTCTCTCAGCCCCACCTACCTCACAGGGTGTCTGTTGTGGGGAGGGGAAGGGAAAGGAGATTGTAAGCTGCTCTGAGACTCCTTCAGGTAGTGAAGGGCGGTGTATAAATCCAATCTCCTCTTCTCTCTCTTTTTGTTGTCTATATCATTACCCATCTAGTCCTCACTGTGGTGGGAAGCCTGTGCCTGGACTGTACCACTTCAAAGATCAGGAATTCTCCACCATGCAAATAATTCCTTGCACGTAGAAAAGGTGTCCATGAAAAGGGTCTTAGTTTAGCTTTGTTCCTAACATGCTGGATTTCTGGTGCAGGGAATTTAGGGGGGGTATGGAAAATCATGAGGCTGGAGTAGCTCCATATTAAGGCACATGGATCTGTTGCTGGCCTAGCTGGTTTAGCAACTGGAGCACTGTGATATGGGGGTAGGGGGGCATATTGTTTCTGGGGGATCAGTCTGGCTTTGTGTTAGCACCATAAACTCCATTTGGGAATAATCTGTCACAAGATGCAGAGAAACTAGATCATGCATGGTTTATGGCACATTCATGATTAATTAAGACAGGACTTTGAGTTTTGCTGACCAAAGCCTAGCACTGTTTGTTGTGGCAGGAGCTTCCGTGGGGGAGAGTCTGGTGCATCAGGTACAAAAAACTCATCGAAAATTTTAGATGCCTCAAGGCTTTATTATAGCAAAGATTATGAATCTGACCAAATGTTTCCCCGCCTTTTTGCGTCCAGATTGGTGCCTCGCTGTTTGCCAGCAACATCGGCAGTGGTCACTTTGTAGGCCTGGCTGGGACAGGCGCAGCTGCAGGGATTGCCATTGGAGGGTTCGAGTGGAATGTGAGTGCGACCATCTTCAACTGTGTGCTGGGAGAACTGGGTCTGAAATCCCAGTATTTGGGTCCTCTGACTCACCCTGCCCCATAAGTGCTTTTGCTGGGTAGGGAGTAGTTCTGGGGGTGTGGTGGGGAGTCCCTTCCCTCCCAGGTTTCTCATGGCAAAGCATAAGCAAGCAGGCACAGTTGTGCTTCTTGCCTCCCCACTGCAAGCATAGCCATGCTCATTGGTGGGTTTGTCATTCCTGATGTTTGACCTCTGCTATAACTCCATCTCTCATTGCTCACAGGCCCTGGTGATGGTGGTGATTCTCGGCTGGTTATTTGTACCCATCTATATCAAGGCTGGAGTAAGTACACAAAGCAGAGAGCCAATTTCCTCATTCCAGGTTAATGCCTGTCAGGCCCCTTATTGTCTGTGAATACTTGGCAGGGAGAAAAAAGGCATGGAGAGGCATGGCTTCCTTTCCATCCCACTTCAAGGTCCATTCGCCCGCCCCCCCTGCCGCCCCAAAACCGTTGGCACAAGCCCTTCATCCTCATCCCCAACCAAAGCCTAATCTAATCACGCTGAATGACATCGGCACCAATTCATTCGTGGTTATGCACCTGGGTAATTTATACTCTTCCTTTTTGGCATAAAGCTCTCAAAGCAAAAATAAAACCAACAACACCAAGCCACATTACAGCAGCCGTCACAAGATTATGGTCATAATAAAATCAACAATGAAGTCAGAGCCAAGGATCTTAAATGTCAAGAGAATCATGAGAGAACAGCACAGCCTTTGCCAGAATTAATATGTTAACAAGGAAGGTGCAATGCAGACACACAGAGGAAGAGCTTGGAAGGCTGGGTGCCACCACCAAAAAGGCCCTCTCTCTGCTAACCCCTGCTGCTGCACACCTCTGGAGGCGAGGGGGATGGAAAGGGCTTCCAACAAGGGTGGCAGCTTGATTAGCATATTTTTGAGGGAGAAGGTGGTCCCAGGTTATTTAGATTATTAGTGGTTCTCCATAATTCAGAACTGATGTGAAAACACAATGGAAGTCAGGGGGGGTCTTTTTCAATGCTGGTGGCAATATGTTCATGGCGGTGCATACCACTTAACGCTCCTGACTGCTGTATTTTGTGCCAGCTAAAGTTTCCAAGCACTTTCCAAAATCAGCCGCATTAGGGCAGAGATAACAGTGGCTGGATGAAGGGGCATAGCTGGCTCGCTCGCCAGTTTCAGCTGAGGAAAGACACTGTGAGCTGCCAGTGCCTCTGGCACATCGCTCAGGAATGCTGGCAGGGAACATGAAGCTGCCTTATACTCAGGGGTCGTTTCGTAGAAAAAGAGCGAGGGGAACTCATTAGCACAACTCATTAGCATATGCCACACCCCCTGACATCACCGGAAGTGTGTCATAAGGCCACACCCCCTGACATCACCGGAATTGTGTCATAAGGCCACACACCCCGCCCCCAATGGTCCCGGCCGCCACCGCCGGCCTTGCAGCTCCACTGCCGAGCCCCATGAGGGGCCCGGCGGTAGACCTGCAAGGCCGGCGGGAGTGCAAGGAAGCCCCGCGAAGGCCCTCCCTGGCCCCAGGCAGGCAGGGGTGGGGAGAGGCAGGGAGGAAGCAACTTACCCTCCCTCTTCTCCTGCCTCCTCCTGGCTGAATGAGGGCCGGAAGCGGGGTGGCCAGAAGCGGGGGCGGGGCTTCGTCATGTGCCCCGCCCCCCGTACCTCACCCGGGGGAACTGCGATCCCTCGCAATCCCCCCCGAAATGACCTCTGCTTATACTGAATCAGACCGTTGGCCTATCAAGGTCAGTATTGTTTGCTCAGACTGGCAGCAGCTCTCCAGGGTCTCAGTCAGAGGTGTTTCACATCATCTACCGCCAGATCCTTTTAACAGGAGATGCCAAGGATTGAACCTGGGACCTTCTGCATGCCAAGCAGAGGCTCTTCCACTGAGCCGCAGTCCCTCCCTGCATGTTGAGGCTTCCCATCTCTGGGCTATGCAGGCTGACCCAGCCCAGCTCCCCCCTTCCTGCTCCTGACCAACAGGAAAGCAGAGAGCTGGAATGGCCAGGCTAGCCTGTATGCTGCTGCTGCTGCTTCTTGGGACAATGGCTGGAGATGGTCCCTGGGGTAGCTCCTCCCTGTCCCGAGGGCTCCCTCCCTCCCTTATCTCTCCCTTCCAGGAGACATCAGAGGGCAGGCTGGCTGCCATTCTGTCCTGAGCTGGGGTGTGGCAACAGAATGGTTACCAACCTCCAGGTGGGATCTGGGGTTTTCCCAGAATTACAGATCTTTAGGCTACGGAGATCAGTTCCCTTGGAGGAAATGGCAACTTCAGAGGGAGTAGTGTATGGATGGGAGACCACCAAGGAAATCCAGGGTTGCTATGCAGAGAGAGGCAGGCAATGGCAACTCGCCTCTGGAAGTCTCTTGCCTTGAAAACTCTATGGGGTTGCCATAAATCAGCAGTGACTTGATGGCAAAAGACAAACAAAGGCAGCTGACAACAGCTGGGACTTAAAGCAGCCACCTGGAAGCCAGTTCAGCCTGCACTGCTTGCAGATCGGGGAAATGCCCCTGCTTCAGTGGTGGTGCCTAAAGGAGGAAGCAGAGTCCTGGCTGCAAGATCTGCAAAGAGAGCCTTCTCCGCCCCCTTACTGACACCTCTATCTGCAAGCATCAGGAAGCCCTTTACACCCTGAGGCGCTCTTGTAGCTGTCACCAAGCGCCATCCCATCCATTCATCCAGACATCCCCCTTCCTTATTACTTCCTTTTAAAACAGATAATGGCTTCAGTAGCTGAGATGGGATTCAAACCCTGGGCCTTCTGGGGACATGGCCCGTGCTTTATCTGCAAGATTCACATTGCTCCCAGCAAGTGGCTGCCTGCCTGCTATCTCTCTGTTCTGCTTACTCAAAATACTGTGCTGTTCCTCTCTTTCCAGGTGGTGACCATGCCGGAGTATCTGAAGAAGCGGTTTGGGGGGAAGCGGATACAGATCTACCTCTCAATCCTCTCTCTGCTCCTTTACATCTTTACCAAAATCTCTGTGAGTCAAGCTTGTCCACTTCCTTGACTTCCCCACCCAATAGTGTTCAGGGAATGGGGAGGAAGGAACCTTTCCCCGTGTTTTATTCCATCCCCCCCCATCCCTCCACTTGGGATCAGACCCCCTCTCCCATTGATGGCTCTGAAAGATTGTACAGGACGGAGATGGGCAGCTGTTGATGTGAAGAGGCTCAGGCTGGAAATCTATCATGAACTGGATTGCATTGCCCACAGCAAAATCCTAGCCTATTAGTACAATTATTATTCAGAGAAAGCAAAGGTTAGAGAGTTCTGTAGCACACGGCATTTGTAAATGAATGTGACCCTTTCCAGTAGATAGTCTTTGACTTTCTGCTCTAATTCTGTCCCCCTTCCCCACTGGCCCAAAATATACTGTTTACCTGAGGTGCAAAATCCAAAGGGCAATTCCTCTCTCCCTACTTAATTTAGGCACAATCCATCAGAAAGCTTTCTTGCATGAGCCCCATTGAAACACACACACTCATTCTAGCACTTGCAGCTATCAAAGCTGTTGCTTTTCACCACTTGAGAAACCTGGAGCTTTGCAGCCCAGGCAGCCTCTGCCCATTTACTTTCTGGCAGCTGGCTCTGAAGGCTACTCTTTGCCCTTTTGAGTGGGAGCTGAAAGATAATCCTACAAATTAACCTAAGTGGCCTGGCCTTTTGCCCTCAGTCTCCACCAAGCTGGCAATAACTGATCCCAATCAGGGTTACTAATTAAACACTAATGGGACCCTTCTTAACGGTGTGCTTCCCTTCCTGGATAATTTTCTCTTCACTACTTGGAGAGGCCAGGTGGGATTCTCCCATCTTATGTGCAAACTAGTCGCTCCACTGATGTCCTGGGGAGAGAGTGGTAGGAACAGACTGTTTTCTTGACTCCAAGGCAGTGCAAGTGAGATCAGGTCAGAGACATCTCGCTACCCCACACCACTAGTTGTGCATCACAGAATCCCTTGCAGTGTTGCACTCTAGAGCTGCTGTTAGCTTTGCAAACTGTGTGTTTGTTTTGAAAACTTATATCTCTCACCTTTCCACGATAGTTGTGGCACAGTGCAGCTACCAAAATGGAATATGTAAAGACAGTTTAAAATTCAAGCAACCTTATTTTCCCCAGAGTGGTCAATAGCCACTCAGAGGGGGTGAGAGGAGGAGCACTTGAGGTTAATAAAATGATACAGAGAGAAAGGGTGAAGCTTCTCTCCCCCACCCTGCCAGAGTCATGATTCGAATAGGGAACCCTAACACCGGCTATTCATCAATAAAAGCCACTTGGGAGATCCATCCCAGATCTCACCTCTCTGGTAGTTTGGCATCAACAGTTCTTTGCTTTTCTCCTGTTTGGGATTTGCCATTAGTTTGTTGGCACATGGCTTCTCAGGCAATGCCTCCCCAAGACAAAGTTTAGTCCATTAAGAGATACGATAAGGCTTTAAAGAGGGCCATAAAAGGTACTTAATGAACATATCAGATGCAAGCCATTGATCTAGCTCCTAGATGAGAAGGGCTGGGAAGGCTTATTGGAAAAATCATCGGCATTCAGGAAGTAAAGTGCCTCCGAGCCTGTTTTCTTGTGGTGCCACGTGCAAGGTGAAAGGACAGGAGCTTGGTCTTAGATCCAGAGACAGTGTTAGCCTGATTGCTCTGATATTATACAACTAGGAAAAAGGCCCATTGTGGAAATAAATACAACGGCATCCAGAAAGAGGCTCTGGGCGGGTGCCCTGGCCTTGGACACTCAGTGTCAATTTGCTGTGGCGACCTCAACGGGGTATAATGACACTGAATCCACGATTTTCTCCAGAGAAACTGATCTCTGCTACCTAAAGAACAGTTGTAATTTTGAGTGATCTCCAGCCCTCACCTGGAGATTGGCAACAATTGTTCCCCAGAAGGGAATAGTGGGTTTGGAGGGTGGAGTCTATGGCTCTGTACCTGTCTGAGGTCCCACGCCTCCTGAAACCTCACCCTCTCCAGGCTCCATCCCTCAGATCTCCAGGAATTTCCCACCTGGAGTTGGCAACCCTATCTCCTGCCCAGCCAACCTTTATTTTCCCCTCACTCTTCAGCTTTCCACCCCACACACACCTGCAGCCTCTCCCGTACTCTGAAGCCCTGACTGCTACGTCACATTGGCTGTCATATGGGGGCCACCTCAGCAGCATATAAGGATACAGAGCCCACCATTTTCTCCAGGGGAACTGATCTCTGCCATCTGGAAAGCAGTTGTAATTCTGAGTAATCTCCAGCCCTCACCTGGAGATTGGACACATTTTACCTCAGAAGAGCAAACTGTTTAGAATGTTAGAGGCAAAAGCCAATCAAGTCACATATGCAAATGACCTCTGTGTTCCGAGGCAGAGGCCAATGAGGCTGCATATGCAAATAACCTCCGTGTTCTGACTGGCTATGGGGGGGAGAGGAACTGCAAAATGTTTAGAATGTTGGAGGCAGGACTCAGGCAAAGCGGCCAGTGAATAGGGAGACCCTCTGATAGACAGATCAGAGAGCGAACTGATTTTGGAGCGTGTGGAATGTTCTAGAGAAGTGCCACTACCATTCGGCTTTTATTTATAAGGGAGATGGCAATAGGCAATAAGGGATCACACCAGTATATACAGAGGTCTTGCTTCTTTCAGGAGGTACCAGTAACAGACACGGAGACTGGAGTCAGTATAAAAATGATGTCTTTTACTGATGAAATTTCACATTCAGACAATACACATACGCACACACAATTACACAGCTTCTAGGAAAAATAGAGAGAGATTGATAGCACATTCGCATTAGCGGGATATCGTTGGTGGGCACCTGTCCGAAGAGATGAAGCTTCCAAATGGAAAAATAAGGGAACTATAAGAAAATGTGGATTTAAGCTAAGGAAATGGGAATCATGTGACTGAACTGGCAGACACACGTGGAAAGACTTTGGCTGCAGTCCAAGAGCCTTTGGGTAGGGTGGATGGCAAGGTAGGCAAAGATAAGAGCGAATATAGAGGTCATAGAGGGGGTGTAGAGAGAGAACAACCACATGGCTGGGTGTCCCTTTAAGAGGGGGGCCTGGGGGGTTGGGCCAGGCTGGCCACATGTCCTAGTCACATGTCCCTTGGGGGTGGCCTAAGCTTATCACACGGCTCACCTCCTAATACTCTGTCCCAAAACACACACACTATTAGGTACAGGGAACAAGGGGAGGGGAATAAGGGAGTGGTCAATATTGAGAGCTAGTAACTTAGACTGGAGAGTGGCACCTGGATGAAGAGGGTATGAGTCACCCGGCTAGAGCTATTGTTTCTTGATGGGCTTAGCCAAGCCTGTTGATGGGCGAGAGATTAGTTTCCAAGCAACCGTGTGTAGAACCTCTCAGTTACGTGCAGTCTTGCAGGTAGATGTGGGGGGGGGGTGCCTGCGTGTGACAGAGGGAGCTCCTCATGGCGTTTGGAGCTCTTTGTCCTTGTGCCATGGCATGGCGTTCGACTCTTCCATGCAGCTAGGGAACTGGTCCATCTCACAGCAGACAAGAGGGCAGATAACCTTGAAGAACCAACTGGAACAGCAGCGCAAAGGAAGGCTTTCTTCTCTTAGGTGTGCATTCTCAACTGGCATCACATTGGGTCACCATGCAGTACAGTCCCTTAAGCATGTTTGCACAGTCCATTTTATCACTTAGGACTTAGACAGTCCATAAGAGCACATTAAGTGCCGTGCAGGGCAACGAGAGAGAGAGAGAATATCTGCATTTGTCTTTCCCACCGGTGTTCAAGCCTTCTGACTCCATTTCAAAAAAACTGTCTACATTTGCTTTCATTTTCACATTGTTTTCACACTTCAGCTGTGCTAGCATCATTTTGCCTGTCCACATATGTTTATCACCCTCTCGTGGTGGCTCCACTGTCATTGCATCTCTGCACCGTTTTAAATGAATCTTCTCCAAACAACTCTCAAACAAGCATAGAGAAAGATGGCGTCACAGCAGCACAAAACTGATTTAAAAATGCAAATGCACATTCGAAGAGAGAGAGAGAGAGAGAGAGAGAGTGAGTGTGTGTGTGTGTGTCCTGGATGACAGAACCAGAAAGCTCAGGAACAGCCCAGGACATTTTGGCAGACAATCCAATCTATTTGCTGCGCTACTTAACATGGAGCACCATCCACATGGCACCACGAAACGAATGGGGAAGCTGTGAATTCTAGGTGCTGGGGGAGAAAACGGGGATAGCTGTTTCAGGAGAAGGTGATCCTTCTTTACATTTGGTTTATGTGCTTCCTGGGAGCATCTGGGCTGGCCACTCTTGGAACTGAAAGGCTGGACTAGATGAACCTTGATCTGATCAAGCCAAGCAATTCCTATAAAACTTTCCATGATATGGAGATTGTTTTCAATTGGCCTGCCAGGCAATCTGTTTATGTGCAAGTCAGTCACCCATACATTTCACCAGTCCTATTTACACAAACTATGTTAATTCTTTACCCCACCCCACCCCCTTTTCCACACATCGATATGTTACAGTCCAGTGGCTCTGGAGGCTGTTTGTAGCTGGTGATCCAGTTCCACTACAAGCAGGAGGTGGATATGTCCTAAGACCCCCTTTGTTTTACCTCTGGCTGGTTTGTAGGCAATGCTGGTCAGCGGCAATTACAGTCCAAGGTGCATTTACTCTGGAGCAAGTCACACTGAATTCAGTGTGGTTGCTCCTATGTAAATATGCATGGGAGAGTCACAGGCTTATTTTTATTTTGCATCTTACATGAATGTGTGAATCCAGATAGCCACAGATGTATTGCTGCCATGCTCTACAGATGTGTAGGCTAGCATTTTGCTTAACATGCCACTTTTGTCTGTGTTTCAGGCAGATATATTTTCTGGAGCAATATTTATTAACATAGCCGTGGGGCTAAATATTTATGTGGCTATCGTCATATTGCTTACTATCACAGCCCTGTATACGATCACAGGTGAGTTCTCCATGTCTGCAAGTGAGTCTCCTTCTGTTCCTTAAAATAAGCAGCATAAGCTGCAGCTTCCTTACTTGGGTGGGAAGGAAGCATCTCAGTTGGCCAGCCACTTCTGACTGTTCCCTGTCTGAATTTTGTCGAGTGTTGTGGGCAACCGTGGGCTTGTTAAGTGGGGAAATACACTGCTTCCAGAGGGGGCACTGGTTGGGGGAAGGTCCCACAGAGGATTTGGAATACAGGCTCATCCATTGGCTTTGTGTGTGTTTTTTGTCCTCAGGAGGACTTGCGGCTGTCATCTATACGGACACATTGCAAACCTTCATCATGTTGGTGGGGTCTATCATCTTGACAGCATATGGTAAGCCTGAATAATCCTTCATCAAACCCAAGTCCTGCAGGCCACATGATGAAGTTCTCAGTGTGTTTTAACTCTGTTTTGTTATTATGCTAGTGCAGGGGTGGCCAAACTGTGACTTGGGAGCCGCATGCGGCTCTTTCACGCATATTGTGCGGCACCCGGCAGGGCGGCTGGGGAAGCGAAGGGGAGGCATGCCCCCCCCCCCGATCAGTTTTCCCTTCCCCAGCAAGTGTTCCCCTCCCAGGTAGGCTTGAGGTGGGGGGGAGCAGAGAAAGAAAGCAACTTTAAATGCGTTCTCCCCCCCTCCACAACCAGCTTGGAGAAGGCATTTATCACTTTAAATCCCTTCTCCAAGCCAAGCCAGCCGGTGTGGGGGCAAGGGAGAGAGGCTTAGAGGATGCATTTAAAGTTCAAGTTGCTTTCTTTCCACCTCCACTCCCCCCCCCCCCGAGAGCCAGTTTGGTGTAGTGGTTAGGAACACAGACTCTAATCTGGGAGAACCGAGTTTGATTCCCCACTCCTCCACGTGCAGCTGCTGGTGTGACTTTGGGTCAATCGTAAGTTCTTTCAGAGCTGTTTTCTCAAGGGCAGTTCTCTAGAGAGCTCTCTCAGCCCCACCTACCTCACAGGGTGTCTGTTATGGGGACGGAAAGGGATTGTTAGCCACTCTGAGACTCCTTCAGGTAGTGAAGGGTGGGGTAGAAATCCAATCTCCTCCTCCTCCTTCTATTTGCTTTCTTTTGTTTCTTTCTCACTCTCTCTTTCCACCTCTTTCATTCGTTCTTTCTGCCTCTCTCTCTCTTTTTCTTAGACAAATAAATATAATTAGCAAACAAATATAATTGGACAAATAAATGTCATTATCAATATCTGTTTTTACTCCTTTTGTTTTTATTTTTGGCAGTCTCATTTAATGTTAATAAAGAGCAAATTTGCATATTTTCCAATAAAAACATGTGTGTGATATTTGTTCATGTCTTGCGGCTCTCAAACATCTGACGTTTATTCTACGTGGCTCTTCTGTTAAGCAAGTTTGGCTACCCCTGTGCTAGTGTTTCAGCAAGGGAGGTGTAGAGCCAGGCAGTGGGCAGGCACTTTCCAAGTTAATGCTTTCTACCAACTCAGTTTAGCCTGGAACATGGCCCTCTACCTGGACATGGCCCATCTGGCCTTGACAAGCCACTTATACCTTGCTGACTTGTGAAGCTGAGAAAATACCAATTAAAAAGCCCACAGATTCAGACAGGAATTACTGACAAGTAATACAAAAAGGTTACAATATAGCCCATGTATCCCCAAGCTTTTTCTTATGGTTGTGAAGATTAGCAATGTCAGTTGTTCAGTAAAAGCTGAGACGTCCTCAGTGGCAGACTTATGATTTTACTCTTGCATGGAGATTCTGAAAATTCAATGGAAATGCGGGGGGGGGGGGCAGCCAGAAAACGGATCAATATGTTCAATGGGACCAGTGATCTGGGCAGTTGATTCTATTAATTTAAAACCCTCCTTTGAGTAAAAACACAAACAAAAAACTACAAAGGCAGCTTGGTAGGGAAGCAATTACAAGCAATAATAAAATACAATGAAATTATAACTTACAAACACAAAAGCAAAACTATTCAGCCACCAATCAGAACAGAGATATCCAGCAACAATATGCAGGATAAAAATTTGTTGGGCTATCTAAGGTAGCAGAGCAAAAGAAAGACGCAGCACACATGTGTATTACCTTTAAAAACTAAAATTTACGAATTACTTATGGGGAAAAGGAACTGGGAGTTTAAAACAATAAACATCCTGTCTAGCTTCTCTAATCTATATCTTGTCTCTTTAACATTTACCTTGTGTCTGTGCCCCAGGCAAGAGTTAGAACAAAAGGCAGTAAAACTTTCTAAGCCTCCACCCCTGGGACATCCTCAGATCTATTGATTAGCCAATAGACAATCCCAATACCTATTCATTATGCATACTGTCACCTAGACTCTGTTGGAAGATACATGCACACTACTCTAGTGGTTCCTAAGGTAACTAACTAGGAAATTAGCATGCACAGGTAAACATGCAAATTCTTTCATTAGAATCAGGAAAGGAAATTGCTCACACATCCGAACAAAATCCCCAGGATGAGTGTTGTTATAACTGCCATTGTCAGTTCTTATGCTGACATAAGAGGGTAATTTTACAACCCTTTTGGGTTTTAAGGTTGTACAATCATACCATCAGCACAACTGTTCCCTGGTGTGTGTGTGCACACGCGCATTCTTGGGTTTCCTCTAATCTTTGTCTTGCCCTAAAAGATTGCATTATCTTTTGCAGCATTTAATGAAGTAGGAGGATATGAGGGTTTCGTGGACAAATACATGAATGCCATACCATCTGAGATAATGATCGGAAATGAGACTGTTCCCGAGAAGTGCTACACTCCCCGACCAGATTCCTTCCAGATCTTCCGGGACCCCATCACTGGTGACATGCCATGGCCAGGACTCATCTTCGGCTTGTCCATCCTGGCTTTGTGGTACTGGTGCACAGACCAGGTAGTGTAAAGACTAGTGACACTGACGCAGTCTGAGAGGCCTGGCCCCTGATTTTAGTGTGATGCTGGATTGTCAGTGTTCAGTTCCTGGGTCATGAACCGCACTGGCCTGATGCCTTCAGTCTGCACTGAAGCCACAGGATATAGATGGAATGCTATGTTCAGGGCAGTGATACTCTGTATTCTTGGTGCTTGGGGGGGGCACAGTGGGAGGGCTCCTGGAGGGCTTGCTGTTGGGACCTCCTGATGGCACCTGGTTTTGGCCACTGGATGGGCCATTGGCCTGATCCAATATGGCTTCTCTTATGTTCTCTTCTCTAATACCTTCTAGTATAACGATGCTCCTGTAATGTAAGTGCTGAGGTCTTACATTTCAGACAAGGTCTTGCTAGCTGATAGAATATACTCTGGGGCAGGGATACTTGGAGTGCAAGTCTCAAAGCCTGAGGCAGACCTCCCACAGGAGGCACATCATTGCTTAAAGTGGGCCCAGGTTCCTTTTAAGAGAATCACAGTGATGCAAGAAGTCAGCAGACCTGGCCCAGTGCTTCATGCTTGGTTTATTTTTCACAGTCTCCAGAGATGATCCCAGTATGTACCACTAGGAAAGAACTGGCTCCAACATGAAGTTGCACCATACTGGGGAGTCTGCAGAGCATGGAGCTTCCACATGACTCGGTCCAGTGAGCCCAGCTATATAACGCGAGCCTAGGCAAAAATACCCCAAACCAAAATCACTACTTAGAAATAAATTTCTTCTCAGCACTGCTTGAGGCTTAATTTTCCATCAGCAGAATGGCACTTTGCTCCACCCCACTGCATAAGAACAGAAGAACATAAGAGACGCCAATGTTGGATCAGGCCAAAGGCCCATCCAGTCCGACACTCTGTGTCACACAGTGGCCAGAAATACCAAGTGCCATCAGGAGGTCCACCAGTGGGGCCAGGACATTAGAAGCCCTCCCACTGTTGACCACTGCAGCCCACTGATCTCTACCAGATGCTGTTCCTGGTGAACAGGGGGACCCAAGACCTGAACTAGTTAAAAAGCCTTGCCCAGAAAATTCTGTGTGGGATCAAGTTCCTGCCCCCAGTCTACTGAACTAGGAAGGATACCATGGGCAAAATGAAGGAAGGTGTGCTATTGTAAATCAATAGAAAATGCCCAGTGTGTTTTCACTGCCACAGGAAGTGGTGGCGGCTACAAGCATGGACGGCTTCAAAAGGGAATTAGATAAGCATATGGAGCAGAGGTCCGTCAGTGGATATTAGCCACAAGATATAGATAGGGGCTCTGGGGCAAGTGATGCTGTTTCTTGGTGCTTAGGGGGGGTCAACAGTGGGAGGGCTTCTAATGTCCTGGCCCCAATGCTGGACCTCCTGATGGCACTGGTATTTCTGGCCACTGTGTGACACAGAGTGTTGGACTGGATGGGCCTTTGGCCTGATCCAACATTGGCGTCTCTTATGTTCTTATGTTTTGCTGAGCATTCTTCAGAGGAACCCGCATCATGTGATTGGTATAACTGTTTGAACCTTGGTGAGATAAGCTGTCTGTATACATATAGAACTCAAGGAGCCATCAGTGACATGTCTAGAGTCTCTGGCTTGCCCAAAGGGAAGAGACCACGCACTAGCAGCATTGGCTGAAGGGAGGAAGCTGAGATCTCCTTGGTTGTCTTGCTTCCTCAGCCTCTGTAGAGGCAAATCAAATATGGCAAACTGGCAGCACAGTGACAGAACTGCTCTGAAGTCAAAACGTATCCTTAATGTATCACCAGATCTGTTTCAGGGACTGTGGGTGACTCTTTAATTGCTAGTATACTCTCTTATTAATGAGCAAGTGTTCGGTTTCTTCAGGAAGCCATCACTGGCCATTATGCCAGAAAGTACGCCAATATTTTTTTCTTTTCTTATCCAAGATTTTTTTTCTGTGATAGCCAAAGTGTAGCACAGATGTCACATCCAACATGACCAAAAGACATGCAACTGATGAATCTGTAAAGCCTGGTGCATGGGACAGCGTGAGCGCGACAAAGGCCGACATATTTTGACAAGAGTTCCAAAATAGGCTCCTTGATGCAATGGGTCTCCCTGGCAAAGAAAAAATATTTTAAAAAATGTGTGGTATATGTTTTTGTCAGTTCCCCCAAAGAAGATAGGCGCACTGTGTTGGGGTAATATTACCCCTTATTGGCTTTGCCTTCAGGGACGCCCGTTTTCTTAGTTGTAGGCAGGGGTCATTTCGGGGGGGAACGCGGGGGAACGCAGTCCCCCCGGGTGAGGTCCAGGGGGCGGGGCACACAATGAAGCCCCCGCCCCTGCTTCCGGCCGCCCCGTTTCCGGCCCTCATTCAGCCAGGAGGAGGCAGGAGAAGAGGGAGGGTAAGTTGCTTCCTCCCTGCCTCTCCCCACCCATGCCTGCCTGGGGCCAGGGAGGGCCTTGGCGGGGCTTCCTTGCACTCCCGCCGGCCTTGCAGGTCCACCACCAGGCCTCATGATGTCAGGAGGTGTGGCATATGCTAATGAGTTATGCTAATGAGTTCTTTTTCTACGAAACGACCCCTGGTTGTAAGAGATGTCTCATTCCTGCCTTTTTTTTACCTCGCTGACTCCAAGGGGCCTGCTCCAGAGTTAGCTGCTTGGAGACTGTCCTTGCTGCCCCTCACTTCCCTTTGTCCATCTCTCTGCCAGGTCATTGTCCAGCGATGCCTCTCAGGCAAGAACATGTCCCATGTCAAAGCCGGCTGCATCATGTGTGGCTACATGAAACTGCTCCCCATGTTCCTGATGGTGATGCCGGGGATGATCAGTCGGATTTTGTACACAGGTGAGCCCCGGCTCTCCCTTGGCTATGCTAGTTGCTTGTCTTTCTCCACAATCAACTTTAGGAGGGGAGGAACTGGGAGGCTGGGGCTTTGCTTCCACAAAGACCCCTTCAGGGTCCCCTGCAACATTGCAGTGCATCTCTTGGGCTGTGCAAAGCACATTGGACCAACCTGTTGGTAACTGAGTCCTCCTTTCTCTTCCCTTCAGATCAGGTGGCTTGCGTCGTGCCCGAGATATGCAAGGAGGTTTGTGATACAGAAGTTGGCTGTTCAAACATTGCTTATCCAACACTGGTGGTGAAGCTTATGCCAAATGGTGAGACTCTGGCTACAGCTGCATTGTTGGGACAGTAGACTGGCTTTTTGGAGTAGTAGGAGTAAACATGGGCCTAGAAATATCAGGAAAATCTAGCAGAACCAAAGTTTGCTGGGAATGAAGACAGCTGCAAGTAAAAAAGGCTCCCACGATTGTGGATGCCTGGCTTGTTTTGCATTGAGGAGGAGCCATAAATAGGGTTGCCAGCCTCCAGGTGGTGGCTGGAGATCTCCTAAAGTTGCCAGGTCCCTTCCCTGCCACAGGGGGGGGGTTGGGGGGCATTCCAGGGGTGGGCAGGGACGTTGCGCGATGCACTGACGTCAACCAGAAGTGACGTTGGTATGTTGGTGACGTTCGGGGCGACGCTCTGCTTTGGGCAAACTCTATGGTATAAACAGCATCAACCCATAGAGTTTTACCCAAAAAGCAGAGCGTTGCCCGCCCTGACATCACTGACCTACTGACGTCACTTCCAAGTGACGTCAGCACATCATGCGTGGCATCGCTGTTGGGGACGGGGGGTGGGTGGGAGAATTTCCTCCCACTGTCCGGCAGTACGGTGGTGGGCAAGAGCCTGCAAAGGTGGGGGATCCCCACTCCCCAAATCTCCAGGTATTCCCCAACCCGGAGCTGGCAATCCTAGCTGTAAAACTGACTTCACCCTGTTGTCTGCCCTCCACTGAAACTTGAAGTGGGCCCCTACAGATAAGAGACTTGAGAATAACAATAAAGCTCATGTGTGTTGGGGAACAGAGGTTGTTGTGAGGGTGATAGGGAGCTGTGAAGGTGCTGAATTCCTCTGACACACTTTTGGATTCTTTTTAAAAAATGATTATTGTTTGGTATTTTTGTGTGTGTGTGCGTGCCCGTGCCAGGAAGTCATGGTGACCTCTGGCAACTCCTACTGGGCACAGAGGACATTCGGAGAAATGGCTTGATCGCCTGTCTCTGCCCTCCCGGCCCTGGCATTCTCAGGAGGTCTCCCATCCAAATACTTGACAGGGTCAGCCCTGCTTAGCTTCCAAGATCTGGCGAGATCGAGTTTGCCTGGGCTATCGAGATGAGGGCCACTTTTTGATTCTTGACCAAGTTCTTAGCAAGCCTTGCCTACCTACATTGGAATAATGCCTTTGCTGAAAAGTAAGATTCTCAGGAAGGCAAGTTCCCAAACACATGTCAGATTCTGTGCTGCTCACAGGTTGCCCTGCTACCCCACACACACACAGTCTTTTTAGACAGACAACATTTGCCTCTTGTGGGACCCCACTAAAACCATTTGAAATGCAGCTCTTTCTAAGCACAGCTGCGTCAGCAAAATGGGCAGGCAAAATTAGCTGCAAACATCATGAAGTGACTCCAGCCAAAGACAGGCACGCAGTTTCTTCTGCTAGCCCAGCGGTTCTTCCATGGGGCCCATTTTGCATCTGGCCAACAGACAGCCAAAGAGATTGCTGAGTTATTCTGTTTTGTGGATGGTTTATAGATGGAACAGATGCATATAACAAAGAAACAAATTAATAAATAACCACATCCAGTGACAGGGAATATGGTTGGTTGGATGGCAAATATTCCTATCATCCGTTCAGTATTCCTGGAGCCATCTCTCTGCATAGGATTGCCATCATTTTCGTCTGAAACATCCTTCCCTAATAAGAACCAAGCTATTTTTAAAAAATTGAATGGCAAGTTGTTCTGAGCATATGCCATTCTGACAAGAAGCAGCTTTAAAAAACCTTTATTGTTAAAGAATCTTCTTCTCCGAAATATAATGATATCCAGTACAATATTGAGTTTAGTTAAATGTTGATTATATATTTGTTCTTGATGATTGATGTATAGATTATGTTGTTATTAGTACTAGCTAATTTTTGTTAAAATTGAAGTGGTTTTATCTTACTTTAACAGTTGTATGCATTTTTAATACTTAAATAAAAAAGTGTTGAAAATAAAAAAAAACCTGCCCTGAGCATATCCACCTCTGAAAGATACTGTGTTTTCTTTTTTCTTTTTTACAACAAAGGTTGTAGAAAATAGAGAAATAACAGTGAAAACCTTGCCTGCACAAATGGATACACTCTTTTTCCTGTGTTTGGTAAATTTTGTCTAGGCCCTGACCCTTGCTGCAGATACTTCATAGCCACTTGAGGGGGCAAAATGTATTTATTTAAACCCAGAGGAGCCACACCAAAGTAACTGGGCAGACCTGTGCCTCGGGGCCTGACTAAGGCATGCTGAGGCCCTCAAGTAGGGCACGTTTAAGAGGCCTCATAGCATTACCCCCCCCCACACACACACTATAATTATAGACTTACAAAAAATTAGAGGCCCCTCATATTCTGAGGCTCTGTGCCGTAGCTCAAGTAGCTTGTGTATAAATCGAGCTCTGCTGTGTCTTCATTACCCAGTTAAACTTTTCAGCTGGGGGTGTTTCTGGGGTTGCCAACCTCCAGATGGTGGCTGGAGATCTCCTGCTATTACAGCTGATCTTCCGGTGATAGATTAGTTCACCTGGAGAAACAGCCGCTTTGGAAGTTGGACTTTGTGGCATTATGCCCCAAACCCTGTCCTCTTCAGGCTCCACCTCTAAAATCTCCAGGTATTTCCCAACTCAGAGCTGGCAACCTCAGATGTTAATTGACCACGGCTCAGCTCTTTACTTCCTTCCTTTCTCTTGCTTGTGTTTTAGGCTTACGAGGCCTGATGCTGTCTGTCATGCTGGCCTCTCTGATGAGCTCCCTCACCTCCATCTTCAACAGCGCCAGCACACTGTTCACCATGGATATCTACACCAAACTACGAAAGCAAGCGTCAGAAAGAGAGCTCATGATAGTAGGCAGGTAATGATGACGACTAACATCAGTTTGTCCGAAGAGAAATTGATTCAGAACACTAGTGATGCTCTAGTGCCCCCTTGTGGAAATATGTGTTTTTGCATGTACATTTTCTGATAGCCCCCATGCCAAGCTCCTGTTATCCACTAGACATTTCCTTTAATTAAATCATTAAACAATTTTCCTCTTGGATAACATGGCTGCTTGCTAAACAAAGGCACGGTAGCATACACTGGCTGTGCTACTGAACGGGTCTTTCTAGTTACTGAAATACATTACTATGTTTGCATTTTAAAAACATGCTTAGAGGTGCGGTCAATATGAACCTGAGTATTTAACATGTGTCTGTGTTGGTTCAGAGAGTGGGAAATGATAAGAGAGAAAAGGTCCTGTGCAGAAGGGAGGCCTAAACTTGCCTCTTTAGGATTTTCCAATGAGAGGCATCAGTTGGGTATTTACTACAATGAGTGCTTCGATTGCATTTGCAGGTTGTTCATCTTAGTTTTGATTGGTGTCAGCATTGCCTGGGTCCCTGTGGTGCAGTCAGCTCAAAGCGGGCAGCTCTTTGACTACATCCAGTCCATCACCAGCTACCTGGGCCCGCCAATCGCAGCTGTCTTCTTTCTGGCTATCTTCTGCAGGAGGGTCAATGAACAAGTAAGCATGATGTGCCATGGCAACACTTCCGGGAACCCCAGGAAGGGCAGATGAAACCCCCCCCCCCGAGCCTCCTGCTTCAGGGAGACTAGCAAGAGACTGGCGAAAACAAGCAGCATGCTGAAGTTATTGGGGGGTGAGGGGGAGAAAAGCCAAGACAGGGTCATAAAGGCAGCTGAGCCTCTGGCTCCCCCCTCTCCATAGAGCCCTTTAGAGCACGCTCCCTTGGAAACAGGGATGCTGAGGATGTGTCACTCCCTTTCCCTTGTCATTGTCCAGAGTGGTGGTGGGATAGTGGGTGCCCTGGGCCCATCTCTGTGGCTGGGGCCGACACAATTTTTCTGAGGCAAGGAATCAATGGAGGAGGTTTGAACAGAGGCAAATCCCACTGCAGCAAGCCCCTCATTAGACAGAGAAATGGAATATCACTAGTCGACACAGTATTAGAACCAAGGTGTCTGCATGAGCCAGGAAGGCATATGGAGGGAGAATTTTGGGCATATTTCAAGGAAAATAGTCTTTCTGGTCTTTGCATCCAGTTCTTGCATACCTGTGGCGAGTGGTGTGCTAATTCCATTTTACCGTGCCCTTTACATGGCTACACTCTAGTCAAGAGCCTTTGCTGCCCACCCAGCTTATTATACAGTCTCACGTGATTGGCTGTACCACTTTAGACTGCCAGGAGTATGCAAGTGCTGAGTATTGGAATGCTTCCCACTACCCAAAAGCCTTCACCAGACTAGGACGCGAGTAATCATGACTGAAGAAAGTGCTTAAGAGAAGGCTTGGCAACAAACAAACAGCAGCTAAAGCTCTGACTACCATTTGGTGTCTTCCGCAGGGCGCCTTCTGGGGCCTGGTTATTGGGCTGTTGATTGGTCTCTCTCGAATGATTACCGAGTTTGCCTACGGAACTGGCAGCTGTTTGCAACCCAGCAATTGCCCGGATATCATATGTAAAGTTCACTACCTCTACTTCGCCATTATCCTTTTTGTCATCTCGCTCATCCTCATTTTGACTGTCTCGCTCTTGACCAAGCCCATTGATGAAGTACATGTAAGTGAGTCTCTCTTGCTCCTCACCTGACCCCATCCTTGCTCCTCAAGGTACTGGCAATATGTGAAATGCATTTCATTAAAGAAATAATATATATTCGGTATAGCACAATGCTAGCCTGAGTTGATGGAGGATCAGTCCCAAAGACCTGTTTTGAATCCTTAGTGTGTGACGTAAGGAAAGCAAGAGCCTCCTTCCCTTTTGGGATCTAAGGCACTCTTCTGCTTTTCAGCTCCCAGAGCAAAAGGGACTACCTTCAGCTCTAATCCCAATACTTTCTCTTTCGTTGTTGAACTTAACAGGTAATGGAAGCCCACTTGGGTGGAGGGCTGGATGTGTGTGGATAGAGATAGAGATTCAAATCTTTGCTTAAGCATAAAGCTTCCCTGATTGATTCTCTCTTAGCCTGGCATACTTTGCAGAAGTGTTGTGAAGACAAACAGCAGCAGAAGTGTCTGGTGTACATACTAGGATCAAAATGATGAACGATTGACCCTTATTAGCCCATTGCTAATCTTTGGGTACAGAGAAGGTCAGAGCAGGCAAATTTTAGCATCCTTTTTGGCTTCAGAGCTTTTGTGCATGACCTACGAGGCACAGTGGGCTGATCTCTCAAGTTCTTCCAGTGCTTGGGACTCCTGACCATTATCCTCTCAGGTCTCATCCCCCAAAGGTCACCTCTATGCTCTTGTTTTATGCAATGGCAGCTCTATCGTCTTTGCTGGACCCTGCGCAACAGGACGGAGGAACGCATTGATCTGGATGTAGATGATACGATGAAACCCGAGGAGCCTGACCTTGGCGATGAAACTGGTACTTCCAGGTTTAATATTTGGCACTAAATAAGTGTTACTGAAAATGTGGGTCTGGCCAGACCACCCCCAACTGGCCATAATTTGTCCTGTGTAGTTCAGGGAATTGTACAGACCAGGATAGGGATACCAGCAGCTGCCACAAGCCACAGAGGAAGAGGTCGGGAAATGGTGATGGAGAAAAAAAGCCAGCTGAAGAGGCTGGAGGGTCTGATGTGGCTCACTTCACAGGGGTGGTTCCTACATAGGCAGGATTCAAAAACAGGTCTCAGCTAGAGATCACCCATTGACTCTGAATGCAAATATTTGGAGCAAATTTCCTAGGACCTGCTCAGATAAAACATCTGCAGGATTTTTGGCAGAAGTTTAAAGAATTCTTAAAATGTCTCAGGTTTAAAAAAAACCACTCCAGTAACCAATGGTCCACTGCAGTTATTCTCCTACTCCCAACCACCCCATCATATCCCATGGCTTTGAAGTGAAAATCAAAACACTGGGAGATCCAACCCACGTAATATGCAGCTTAATCTCATATCTAGGGACCCCATGTTTTATTTATTTATGTATTTCATTTGTTCCCCACCTTTCCCCCAATGGGGGCCCAAGGCAATTTACAACATTCTCCTCTCTTCCATTTTATCCTCACAACAACCCTGTGAGGCTGGTTAGGCTGAGAGAGTGTGACTGGCCCAAGGTCAACCAGCAAGCTTCCATGGCATGTGTGGGGATTTGAACCCAGGTCTCCCAGTCACTAGTCTGACATTCTTAACCACTACGATACAGGCTCACAACAGTCTTGAACTAGTTTAACTGTCATTCCCCACTCCACACCAAAATCCCATAACCATCATTTTGTAAAGGAGACTACAGATCTTAAGCAGAGAATTTTCAGCACCCTCACCAAATTTAACTCCCAGGATTCTTGGGGGGAAGCCATGGCATTCAGCTGTTATAAAACCAATGCAAGTTTTGTACTGACTCTCACAATGACCTAAAAAAAGGAGTGATGTGCAATGCTCCCTCTAAGCTGTGGAGTCTTGTGAGCAAAAATTCTACTTTGTGAGCTACTGGCATTAAAGCTGTGAGCGAGCCATTTGGCTACTGCATAAATTAGTTTACTCTGGAGCTATCCTTCCTGAGCCAAGACAAAAACGTGAGCCAGAGGCTAAAAAACTGTGAGCTAGCTCACACTAACTCAGCTTAGAGGGAACACTGGTGATGCAAACGGCACCTTTCTCCACCCCCCCCCCACCTGTATCCCATACAGAATGATGGGTAACAAGGTGCTTTTGATGCTTGGATGGGTGGGCACCTCTTTCAGGTTCCACATTTTTGGTCTAATGCAAGATCTCTCTGTTGCAGTCTCTGACAGACAGGTGAGCTGTTTCAGGAGGGCATTCAATTGGTTTTGTGGCTTGGATGATCAGAAAGGCCCAAAGCTGAGTAAAGAGGAAGAGGCAGCCCTACAGATGAAATTGACCGACACATCTGAAGACCCCTTCTGGAAGCGTGTGGTCAACATCAACGGCATCATCTTGTTGTGTGTGGCTGTGTTCTGTCATGGGTATTTTGCATAGACATCTATGCTCCAGGGTGCTGCTTTTTTTTTTTTAATGAAGGTCTCACTTGCTCACTGAAATTGCACTGTGGAACCATAGTTACGTCCTTATCAAACCTATAACTTATTTGTTTCTACTGAATTGATCCATATGGCTTAATCAATTAATTGGAATTCAAACAATCAGTGGGCTAAAGTGAGACCACAACAGTGAGACCACAGAGTCTCCAGTACCTCATGAGGACCTATGTCATTACAAGCTCCCTCTTCTGAAAGGGATCATACCCACCAGGGGTCATTTCCTGCAGGAGCGCACAGGAACGGAGCTCTAGCCGTAAAGAGCCCAGGGGGCAGGCACATGCAACAAGCCCCACCCCCTGCTCCCAGCAGCCCGCAGTCAGAGCTAGAAGCAGCCAGGTAAGCTGCAGAACACCCCCCCTGGTCCAAAACAGTCCAGTGACACCTTTAAGACCAAGTTTTATTCAGGTACAAGCTCTCTCTCCTCTGCGAGGACAGATCTGCACGTCCCCCCCCCAATAGCTAGCAATCCAAAACAGTCCAGTGGAGCCTGAGTGGTGGGTGTTGCCTTCTGACACACTTCCGGTGATGTCAGGGGGTGTGGCATATGCAAATAAGTTATGCTAATGAGTGCCTACACCTACGAAATGACCCCTGATACCCACCACATCTTGGATTCCACATGCAAAGAAATGTGGTGGGCTAGCAGAACCACATCAGTGACGCTCAGTGTTTGATGATCAGTGATGATCATCAGTGTTTGATGATCCGTTTTAAATGTTTTTGTACAAAGTATGATTTTTTAAAAAAATATGCTACTTTTTGTGTTGCCTTATTGTTGGGGGAGTTTGTTCTCTTCTCTCATAAGTGATGTGATTTGTAAAGAAAACAGAAGGAAAATGTGATTGTCTGGCAAATACAGACTGCTCTGTGGAGTTGTCAAGATTCATTCACGGGCAGAAGCTTTTAATTATTTTGCTTGCTTCCTTTCTGCTTCATGTTTAGCATTGTCCTTTCCCTGCACAGGTTTGCTTCCCCGCCATTAGCTGTTTTCATTGTCTTTTGCCCTGACCTGGATAGCCCAGGCTAGCCCAATCTCATCAGATCTTGGAAGCTGAGCAAGGTCGGCCTTGGGTAGTATTTGGAAGGAGAACCTCCAAGGAATACCAGGGTTGTGACGCAGAGACAGGCAATGGCAAACCACCTCTGAAATGTCTCTTGCCTTAAAAACTCACCACCTAGTGGTGCATAACGCTAAAAAAAGAGTTAGAACTTCTGGCTGCCAGACAATCTTAGGATCTCCTGGCTATACTACACACAATGCCATACAATAATAATAATAATAATACTTGTCCCTTGTCCTACAATGTGAACTGCAAGCATCTGCATGGGACATTGGTTGCCAGTGCAATTTCAGTGGGCTCTAAATACATTTGGAGATGAGTTTTCTCTGATAACAAAGTCTGTTAATTACTAGCTTTGCCTTTGTACAATGTGGTTGCTGTGCATCTGTGTAAAAATACATTACCTTTATTTTTTAAAAATAATAGTTTCGTCTTTTGTTGGAAAAGCAAAGCAACCGTCCCCCATTACTGCTGTAATGTGCTGGTCAAAGCTAGCATGTAACACCTTGACCCCAATGTGTGCCCAGTCAGATTTATGGCCATATAGGGTGCTAAGCTGCAGTAATTGTGGTACTGGAGGTGGACCCCACAAGTCATGATTTGGAAGAACTGCTGAAGGGCTCTGGAATGGCACAGAGGCTGGTACAGGCATGGCACAGCCATCTCAGAGAAAAAGGGGATGGATCTTCTGCCTAAGAAGAGGATGAGTTTGCGGCTGCTGCTAAGAATGGTTTGCAAAATAGAAAAGAGAACTGACCTTGAGCCAGTGTGGTAGGTGGAGAGACTAGCATTCAAATCCCTTCCTGGCCGTGAAGGTCACATTGCAAGCTTGGGCAAGACCTCCACCCCCAGTTACAGCCCAAGTTGTCTCCTGGGATTATTATTAGGAAAAAGTAGGTAAACACTATGTATTTTTGCTGACTTGAAACCAGTGGTGTACCTAGCCTATTTGGTGCCCAGGGTGAATAATTTTTAACACTACCCTCCTCTGGGTGGGGTTTTCTTTTGGCCATCAAGTCACAGCTGACTTATGGTGACCCCATAGGGTTTTCAAGGCAAGAGACATTCTGAGGTGGTTTGCCATTGCCTGCCCTCTGCGTCGGCCCTGCTTAGCTTCTGAGATCTGACAAGAGCAGGCTAGGCTGGGGCTATCCAGGTCAGGCCCCCTCCTCTATACAACAAAGTTATTTTCAGTAATAATCATGAGATAAAATGAAGAATAATAAAGGCCTGGAAATAGATTCAGGTGGGTAGCGATGTTGGTCTGAAGCAGCAGAACATAGTTTGGTCTTAAAGGCGCCACTGGACCAACTTTTGTTTCAATGACCAGAAAAGAAACACAGTTAAAAAAAATGTTACATTTCATACACACACACACACATATATATATGTTACACACACACACATACACATGTTCTGAGTCGGCCCTTGGGAGGACTTCTGTTCTCCATTTTGAAGACCAAGAGCTGATCATCCCAAATGTCTACAAGGCATTTTTGATATCTAGGAGTCTGCCTTTGTAGTAACTTTTACTAATACTAACTAAAGCATCACAAAATAGTGATCACAAGCTTCACCAGACTGGATGTTAAGAAACACACTACCCCCCAAAGAAGATGCCCCCATCCTCCATTGTTTCCAAAGGACTAATGTCAAGCCAGAAAATCTCTGCGGTAGAAACTGAAGAGGGCAGGGGGCATTTTTGCAAGCCCAGTAGAACCAGTGCAGTCTACAGTGCCCAGCAAACCCACTGCCATTGTGGCAATGCCACCTGATGTCAAGCACAGAATCACAGCCCAAGCAAGGGGGACACTAGAAGCCCAGTAGAACTAGTGCAATGTACAGTGCCCAGCAAACCCAGTGCTTTCTGTTCCTAATATTAACAAAGGTTTGCTACTATACTACTCTTAAATACATTCTGTCACCAAGCAGGATAAGGATGAGAAGAGACCAAGAAGTGAAAATAGTGTGTGTGTGTGGGGGGGGTTGAAAGGGAAAATTAGATGAAAGAAGACAGAAATGAATGAGAAACGTGTGGAAAAGAGGGAGATAAATTAAGAGAGGGAAAGGTTGTTTTATCTTGCTGCAACACCCTAACTGCTGCTTTGCAAGATCCAGCTGAGCTGGGTACAAGGAAAGGAAGAGAGAAAAGCTAGTCTATTGGAGAAAATGACCTTCAGGCTGGCAATTACTGTAGCAGCTATCAGCATGCTGGCTTAGTTGTACGATCTGTTAAGCAAGTTTGCTTCAGTCTTGAAGGAGGAGGAGGAGAATGAATTTATACCCTGAGACCTGAAGGAGTCTCAGAGTGGCTTACAATCTCCTTTCCCTTCCCCTCCCTACAACAGAGACCCTGTGAGGTAGGTGGAGTTGAAAGAGCTTTTTCAAGAACTGCTTGTGAGAGAACTTATAACTGACCCAAGGTCACACCATGTGGAGGAGTGGGGAATCAAACCTGGTTTTCCCAGATTACAGTCCGTGTGACTAACCACTACACCAAACTGGCTTTCAGAAATGGAAGTCTATCTGATCCTAGAGTGCTTTTTGCTATGCTCAGACTTTCCTGTGCTGCAGCCAGAACTGTGTTTTTAAAATAAAAGGAAAGCCATGCAGCTGGATTCATCATGATGCTGGCTTCAATGGCCCCCTTCAAGGGCCTTCCTCAAGCTGTGCCTGGGATGGAGCACAACCCACCCCACCCTTGGCTACCGCTTGAAACAAAAATCATCTCCTACACTCCTCAGTCAGTTCAGGTTCCTGAGGTGACTTATAAATCACAAGATCTTGAATGCAGCCCTCCCAAATAATTGAAAAGTTAACCAATAATAAAATCAAAAAGAAGATGTACAACTAGTAAGTTAACCAAATGTTAACCAATAATAAGATCAGAAAGAAGATGTATGAACCCAACAAAATGCCGGGGTAAATAAACAAGTCTACTTGGTGCCAGATGCTTAAGCAGCTCCACAGAGAGGAGGGGAGGGCATTCCATAACTGGGGAGCCACAACGCATAAGGCCCTTGTGACTGCTTGTCTGACTTCCAGTAATGGAAGGAAACAGAGCAGGGCCTCAGGTGGCAGCTGGTTTTTTAAATGCCTTAGTCCTAGGCAAGTTAAGGCTTCAAAGGTAATAACCACTTTTAATTGGGCCCAGAAGTGAACACCAGCCAGCATAGTTGTCCTAAGACTCCCACAAGAGGATCTCGGTAATCTGCACCAGTCAGCAATCTGACTCCTGCATTTTGCACTGACTGCAGGGTGGATTACAGTGGTCTAACCTGGATATGATCAAATTTAGAATCCATTTGATAAAGTGTGCATGCACACAAAAGCTCATACCTTGAATAAACCTTTGTTGGTCTTAAAGGTGCCACTGGATTCTAAATTTATTCTACTGCTTCAAGCCAACACGGCTGACTATCTGGACCTAACTGGATCTGATCAGTTCATGTTTGCTCCTCTGAGCTCACTACAGGGAGGCCAGGACACAAATGAACAGTAGAAGACCCCATCAGTCAAATGACATCACACCAACTCCCTCTAGAGCCCACAAAACCAATCACCCTTGGACTGAATGTGGTGTCTCATGTGCTTCCATTGACCAATAGGAAAAGACTTCATCTGGCCAGAAATCACAACCCCTTTAGTGCAATTTTCTGTGGTTATATGAGGAATATCCTGCAACTCTCTCTACAAATATGCCTCACTACCCTAGACCAGCAGAAAAGGTTTTTAGGTGAGGTTCAAATAAGCCAACTTTCTGGCTTGTATTGGATTACAACTTCTGCTCTTCAAATCAGGATGGGGCAGGAAGACCCCCGTGCCATTCTGGGTCCTTAGCAAGCCCCTTTTCTGTATGAGCCAAGATAGATGGTCTGGCCAAGGTTGAAACCTTGCCCCCAGCATTTGTGAGGGAGCTCAGCTGATTATTGAGTTCTGACTGGCATTAATTATAGCACTAATCAGTGCTGACTTCAAGCGAAGGAGAAGCAGGCTATTGTTAGTCGAATTAGGCTTCTGCCGTCACAGCACAAGGAAACATCATTCCTACACCCAGCGTCACTCACCATGGGCGTTGCAGCAGGCGCTGGCTGAGCCTGACATGGTTTTTAGAAGCGTCAGAAGCGTCAGGTTTAATTACAGGGTGCAAAAGTGTACTGATGTGCTAATTGCTGCATTTACCATAGGCAG